GTGATTACTATATAGAAGTTCTAAAAATCATTGTTTGAATTTGTTATAAATTTTACAACCATTGTAGTAAATTTTAAACTTCGATTCGCTGTCTCTATTCTCATGACCTTAGCAGATAAAGTAGATCACTGCTTCTGGTGACACGCAGTAAACACACTTTTAGTAAAACTGAAATAATTATTAAAAAATTGTGGACAATTATCATCAATACATTTCCCAACTAGATTACAAGTATGATGACATGATGTTCCCGCCTATATTTGAAGAGTTTCCCACTTTAGTGAATCCACCGCATTGTCACTATCCTTAGATTTGCAAACGATGCGTGCGTGCGGTCTTTGGGGTTTTGAAAGGAATTACCATTTGTTTCGCCACAACAGTTGTATACACTGTCACAGTAATCCAAAACCGGACGGATATAACTGAGCAGTGACCGAGTGTATCGGCCTATACCACTCGATGCTGCCTGTTGAACCTCCAGTCTCTTTATCGACTTTTATTACGTTTGTATATATTACATATACCGATTAAATTAAGGTTGTCTCAATATAGAATTTGTTAATGTGCTATGTTCTGAAATTTTGAGGTTCACCGATCCACGTCTCAAAAACACAGTCCGAGTTAACCGGGTAAATTTGACCAAAGAGAAAATGAAATTTATTCGAGTTAGTGAGGAGTTCGAGTTAAGCCCATTTTCCACTAGGCGAATAGGCAATTCCAGCTTTTAGTTTATGCCTGCAGGGGATGATGGGAAGTAAGGTATCATATTGCCGATTATGCTGAAAAATTTCAATAAAAACTACGGAAACAACCGAAATATTTCAATATTTACAAGTATAAGCTATCAGTCCATGTTTACACGGTCACCATTTTTCGGCCAGTATTTTTTCAGCATAATCAGCAATGTGATACGTCGTCCCCAGCACGCATAAACTAAAAGCTGGAATTGCCTATTTGTTCGCACGAAGAGTAAAAAGGTAGGAACTGTCCAACTTTTTCGCGGCAAGTTTTTTCGCAGCCAATCACAATGCCAAGATTTGTTTTCTCGCATCGCGCGAAAAAATTCGCCTGGCAAAAAATTTTGTGTACGCAACAGTAGTTAAAACACAACGTGTCAATCACGAAAGCAAGGCTCTATATATGGCCAAGATGACGTAGAGTGCGGAAGCGTGTATTGTCTGTATTACTTCACCCAGGTTGCGTTTTCATCCGCGTTTGAGTATGTGCATGTCTATCAGCACGAAAACTTACAAAATATGAAACGTATTACTACGAAAATTTGTGGGACTAATGGACATTGCCCAAGGACGAATTGATTAAAATTTGATTAAGTTTGGATAAAAACTGGAAGAGAAATTAGCAAACGTTTGTGTTGTTTTACGGGGCAGAGCAAGCTAGCTGAATGGGTAATTAACCCATTGTATAATTTATGCATGATACATAACCAGGGGCGAAGGAACCGGGGGCCAGGGGCCAGGGGGGCCAGGGGGGGCCAGACCCCCAAAGTTTTGCCAAGTGCCCTATTTCCGGGAGCAAAGTGCCCTTTTCTTGCCGTGAAAAATGTCATTAAGATTGCATCTTTTGTCCAAAGGGCACTTTTGAAAACTTGCATCTATGTTATTTCCGGATAATTTTTTTTAATTTTTCGGGAAAAATATCATATATCCGGTAAATTTTTTGGTATATCCGGAAATTTTTTTTAATATTTAGGAAAAAATGTGGTATATCCGGAAAATGTTTTTGGTATGTCCGGAAAATTTTTTTGAGATGACTTCCCCCCCCCCATCGCTAACATTTTCGGGAAAAAATTTTTAGATGCCTTTTTTATTCGAAAAGTGCCCCTCAAAGCCAGGCCCTCAAAGCCAGGCCCCCAATTTTTAGAAGCTTCCTACGCCCCTGTACATAACGTAAAATATATATTTTTTCTCTTCTAGTTCTTATTCGTTCTGATTCTATTTGGATTGTTTCGGATAATTTTATCGAGTTCAAACAACGGTAAGATATGTCCTTCCAAGTACATATAAGCTTTCTAATTACGAACAGGCAACAGTTTTATAACTTTACGGTTACGATTAAAATTTCTAAAGCGCAAATTTACACGTGAAAATGATCAGATGCGCTTAACATCAAGTATTACGCTTGTCTAATTACTTACTTAACCTAGACTGTTTTATCTGTACGATAATTGTGATATTACTTTCTTAACTGTGTTTATCCTAACCCTTTTCCGGCTGATAATTTCAGCAAAAATAAAACAAAAGTTATTCCGAATAAGGAGTGCATAATATTAACACACAATTTATTAAAACTGTATATTTCGAATCTAAATCAGATTCATCTTCAGCAGTGTTTTGCAAGATATGATATATGATATATGTTTTATCTTGCAAAACACTGCTGAAGATGAATCTGATTTAGATTCGAAATATACAGTTTTAATAAATTGTGTGTTAATATTATGCACTCCTTATTCGGAATAACTTTTGTTTTATTTTTATCCTAACCCACCCAGTCAACTTTCCCTGTGGGAGGAAACCGGAGCACCCGGAGAAAACCCACGACTTTCGGTAACACGTTGACTGAGTCAGGGGCGTAGGAACCGGGGGGGGGGGCAGGGGGGCCATGCCCCCCCCCAAGTTTTGGCAAGTGCCCTTTTTCCAGGAGCAAAGTGCCCTTTTTGTGCCTGAAAAATTTTCATAAAGTGTGCATTTTTTGTCCAAACGAAACTTTTGAAAACTTCAATCTATGTTTTTTCCCGAAAAATATGTTTTAGTCTCCGCGTAAAATATCATATATTGGTTTGTCCGGAAAATTTTTTTGTATTTAAGAAGAAATATGGTATGTTTGAGATGCCTTTTCTTTTTGGAAAGTGCCCCCTCAAAGCCTGGCCCCCCAACTTTTCTAAGCTTCCTACGCCCCTGGACTGAGTTGATGAGTCTGTAGCGAGAATCGAACCCACGAACTCTGAGGTGAAAGGCCGCTTGTTTTGTCGACTTGCGCTCCAAAATAGAAATTCCCTGGTTTTTGCAGTTGTGTGTGTAATTTCGTATGTTTTAATGGAGTTTGTGAATGCAAAGTGATATAAAAATCTTCCCTGACGGATTTGTTGGCAATTGATGCAATGTGAGCTAACTATAAGTGCGGACTTCAACTTTCATTAGTATTCCTGACTTAAAGATATTAAAGTTTGCCTTTGAAATAATATACACTTAATGTCTGCTCCTGAAGGAAATAGTTCGATTGACTTTTGTCTTCCCGAGACGAAGTCGAGGGAAACATTGAGATTTCAGGGGAAACAAAACTATTTCCCGAGGGAACAGACATCAAGTGTTTTGTAATATAGCGACGTAAGAAACATCAACAACATTCATACAACATTTGTATTTCATGACAAAAACTCGAGTGAAAGTTTAAAATTTAAGAAACCTACTTAAACGGTAATTGAACGGCATATTATGTCACCTGTTGTGTATTGTTCTTCTCTTTTGCATTCCTTACTTTGACACAAATTTGGAAAATATTATACCTTATAAAACTTGCGAATTGTGCCGCCATATTGTTTCTTTATGTATGCTGCCGGTCGGGCTGGGCAAATATTTTACACATGTTGCCCGCGAGATACATTGCATTTATCTAAAGCCACGTGACCACAAATCAACCAATCACGTTTGGTGTTCATCCCAGCTATATAACAATGACCAATCACTCATAAGCATTTATTCTACCCGTTATGTTTCCTGGTTTGTCCACCTTTGGGAAACATGGCTAGGAAACAATTAGTGTTTCCTAGTTTGTCCACCTTCTGGAAACATGGCTATGAAACAATGTTTCCTGGTTTGTCCACCTTTGGGAAACATGGCTAGGAAACAATGTTTCCTGGTTTTTCGACCTTCAGGAAACATCAAACATGGCTAGGAAACAATTAATGTTTCCTGGTTTGTCCACCTTCTGCAAACATGAACAGGAAACAATGTTTCTTGGTTTGTCCACCTTTGGAAAACATGTCCAGGAAACAATGCTTCCTTGTCTGTCCAACCCTCAGCAACCATGGCTAGGAAACAATGTTTCCTGGTTTGCCCAGAGCTTCACTCACAAACGATAGTTATATAATCCTGCAAACTCACCCAATTAGTATTCTCCCCAGATCCACACCGTTGGTTTTTATCACTTGGTAAGCCCGCCACACAATCATCCACAGAAGGCAGTCAGATTGCGTCATTGGTCACTGATGGGAATTTTAAGGATGACGACTCCAAATGCGCGAAGACCACAGTCTCCAATAATCCGTATGTGGAACTTGACCTTGGCATCGATACACTCATTTACGCTGTTGCATTTGTGTTACCTGGATCTCAAGAATCATACCCTAACATAAAAGTCACGGTCTCGAGTAAGTCAAGTATGCTCTATAAATCCCCCTCTCAAAAAATTATGTTTGCCTCATTTGAAAGAATGTTAAGATTATTTACAAATCCTTTTCACAAATTCTCCCAAACTATATTAGTTTTTCAGATAATTATTTGAAACCAAAATATCCTGCCATCCGCCATCTAGATTTATTACATGTGACGTCACAACCAGAGTAGACATTTTAGAAATAAAAAAATATTATCAGTGGAAAGTTTTTACATAGCTTGTGCTTTAATTTTAAAATAAACAACAGTAAAACATAGGATTTATCATTAAAATACTCATATTTGTATATTTGTAAAAAATATGAATATTTGTAAATCGGATAAAGTTTGTCCTGATTTACATAAACTTCAGCTTTGATTTTCTCGGGTTAGGCAATGTTTATTTCTAAAATTACTTCGCCAATGAACTCATAAGATAGGTCGTTTATTAAGCACGTTAAAACATGAGCAGCCGATCTTTATCTGATATATACAAAATCTCGCCTTCGGCTCGAGTCTGTATATCAGATAAAGATCGGCTGCTCATGTTTTAACTAGTACTTAAATTAATAGGCCCTGAGAATTGGTCAAGATATAGAAAATAATGTTTCCCTAGTACTGTGATGTCACGCATCTCAGACGATGGATAAGATGGCGGAATGCATAACAAAAGTGTAATACCTCTTATATCAAGACTGATATGGAAAATCTGTAAAAAGGTTTTGAAACATATTGAATCCCTATTCCAAATGAGAGAAACCTTTTATTGCTATTTCCCTTAAAATATAATACTAATAATTATAAATACTAAACATACAGGGTGTCCCAAAAAAAAGTGACACTATAGAAATTATCCTATTGTTATAATTTGAATGCCCTAGCATTAAGTTGATCCCACAGGTGCATAGACTTCTGCTTCCGGAATTTAAAGTAAAAAAGCAAACCTTTTATTAGTGTAATCGTTTTGCTTGACTCGGGCGTTAAAATATTTGGACAAAGCGAAAACGTTTTAAAATGCTTAAATGTAAATACAAGTTCATTAAATTCCCAGGCGTGCAATCACGCGCATTTAAGAGCGGCTTAAGAACAATGAGATAGTTTCTATAGTGTCACTTTTTTGGGGACACCCTGTATACCAACAACCATTTTCAAAACAATTGAAAAAATGTGTTCGTTGGATACGAATTGGATCAAATTGGCCCCCGGGTTGTACGAAGGCTGGATAGCGTCACCCACCGTAGAGTGCTTCTCTCTTCTCCGCAGAGCCTCCTTAAGTATTTACAAATAACTTACACAGGCGCGTAGGAAGCATCTAATGATTGGGGAGGGGGGCACCGGCTTCCAGGGGCACTTTAGGATAGATATTGAAAAGGGCACCTAAAAATTTTTTCCCGGAAATGTTGACGACGGGGGGAGGGGGAAGAGAAACATTTTTCCGTCATACCATACCAAAATTGCATGTTTTTGACCATTTCTTTTCAAAAAACATGGAAATTTCCAAACAAAAAGGACACCTTTGATGTTAATTTAGTATTTACAGCGACATTAGCTCGTACAAAAAGGGCACTTTACATCACAAAAAAGGGCACTTTTAGTCTTTTGAAAAAATTGGGGGGGGCACGTGCCCCCCGTGTCCCCCCGTTCCTACGCCCCTGAACTTACATGAAGTTCCCGAATAAAAGTGAGCGCGCGTGGTGTGATGGGAAGATAGAAATGAAGTTGGGGAGGCTCTGCCAGATAATGCGACGACGTATGGTTTTTGAACCAAAGTTACCAAACTAACTGTTAGACCTTTTTTAAACTTAAAATCGACGGAAATGTGAAAAAATTGAAATGAATCTTCATAATCTGAGTATCGAAGTTCAATAGAGTCATTTTTATAAAGAAATGTTGCAATTAAGAGGATATTTATAATTAGATAGCTCGTATCCATTGATATTCGTTTGCAATTTCTCAATATTTTTTGATGCAAATGGACGGTATAATGATATTTAATCCACCCCAGGATACTCAAGTACGCCTGGAAATGAAAGTCGAAAACATGTTTTAACACCCTCGATGGTTGATAGAACTTCGCTACAAACAATTATATACGACGCCATATTGATTGCATTAACTCGCAGAGACTTCCTTTATTTAGCTCTTCCCATCACTCCTTGCGCGCTCACTTTTCCCTCACTAGAAACTTCATGTAAGCCTCTGCGGAGGAGAATTGTAGAGTGCACTACATTTTCAACCTTTGTAAATATGCATGAAAAGCTGTGTGCACGAAAAGCTGTGAAGCTAAAGTCTGAAGATAAGGACAGTCTACAGTCTGCAGTCTGCAGATAAGGTCGAGGGATTTATACCAGTCTACAGTTCTGCAGATAAGGTCGAGGGATTTATACCAGTCTACAGTTCTGCAGATAAGGTCGAGGGATTTATACCAGTCTTCATTGTTCAATTGAATTCGCTGCGGGCGCTTGAATATGGAACGCACAATAAATATTAAAAACTCGTTAATTTAACCACTAATAAACACTACTCCCCGGTTATTCTCTTCAACAGTCAATTTTAGAAAGTTTGAAACTATCTGTCCGAAGATGCGGGTTCGAATTCTGCTCGAGACAACGAATTTTGCCAACAATTTTAGCACAGTGCCAGTGAATAGCGCTATCGGCTTTCTAAGGCACTGTTTATATGGTCTCTGGTACTAGGGACACCCTTTTACCGTGCGTTTATATGATAAAATTCAGAAAGGCATAACACGGGGAATACTCCGTGTGTTTTTTCTCGAAATACTTGAGCATGCGTAGGTCTAAAAAGTAGCCCCTGGATGGAAGCCGAGGTAAATCATTAATTAACGCAAATTGTTCACAAGGACAAAAGTTGTCCCTCCGACAAGGGTAACCCTGTTAAATCGTAAACAGGGTGTCCCTACCGCCAGGATGACCCTACTTGCAGAGACGAGTTGAAAACTTCCCATATAAACACTTGCGTTTTTAAATGTTATATGAGGAATATAATTTTGCCTCTTCCAGGGTAGTTCGGGGGGTAAGGTGTCCCTAGTACCCGAGACCATATAAACAGCATCTAACAACCGACCACAAGAAATATGATTGATCAAACGGATTTATTCTTTTTTAAGATTCCGATGGTTCTAACGGTTACACCATGAACGGCGGCCCTAAAACAGTTAACAGCAAGGTTGTCACCTATCCAAGACACCGTATTCGATATGTTCGAATTTCACGGGAGGAGCCAGGCACACAGCTCAGTGTGTGTGAAATAGCCGCTTATCAGATGCCTTTTGGTAAGTTACATTAAAGCCTAGATCAAACGTCGATTTTTGGCGATTCCGAAACAGAGTTCATCACGGACTATTGTCCGAGCAAAATGCTGATATGGCCGTCTAATGATTGTTCTGCACGGACATATTTATGCCGTTATGGTCGACTCAGGCCCATTTTATACGTCAATTTGGTCGCGTCGAATGTAACTAAGACAATAGATAATGAGATGATAAACCTCATTAAGCTTCATTATCTATTGTTTGAATTGCATTCGGACGCGACAGAAATTCGACGTATAAAACAATCCTCAGTGTTTTCCTTTATTCTTTGACAGTTTTCTATGACGCATTTTTTTATGTGGCAAGTTTTATATTTCCCAAATGCACACGTGTTGGTAGGTACACCAAATTTTCTATGAAAAATACCTGTTAATGTTCGGTTTTCTGGCTGCCACAATATTACAATAAGGGACCGGTCATAAAATAAAAGGGGAGTGGGCTGGGAAAATAGTATATTTTGTGTCAGCACTTTTGGTAGCCCACCCCTTAATAGCTGCACGAAAATTTTTAGCTCACCCTTAAATTGGTGCTGAAAAATGATGACCCACCCCTTTTCCAATCTTTTGCTTTCCAAGGACTTTATCTTACTTTTTCATACCAAATTTCTGTACTTAGCCCAAAAACAGATATATTGTTATTTGCGCGGAAATTTTTAACACAAAAAAATGACTGGGGCCCAATCTTCTGCATATTTTTACATGGCCCACCCTTATGATTGCGCGTAACTTTCGATGACCCACCCCTTCAACCGTGCTCAAAAATAGTGACCCACCCCCCTATTTTTCCCAACCCCCCCCTTTTACTTTATGACCGGTCCCTAACTACAAGCACATTATAATTATCGCTGTCCAATTGCATCCAAAAACAAGTGCTTAAAAATACTTTAAGTGTTAAGCCTGCAGCACACGAGAGAAACTTGCTGAGCTGACCGCCTCGAGTGGCAGCTAGCTCAGCTATGTATTTTCATCGCACGCGATGGGAAAACTACTCAACTACAACATAATTGACAAAATCATTTGCATTTTCCTCCATTTTGTTCCAAGTCACATGAACTTTCGCATTGGCTAATTGATTCAAACAGCCCAGCACTTAGCTCACAACATCCGCAAACGCTGAGATATTTTGCTCGCGGGGTGAAAAATATCAAACACGATAGATATTTTCCTCAAGGCCTCGAGAGGTCAAATCCTCACGAAAACTATCTGCACACGAGAGCTACTTACTGCCACGCGAGGCGGTTAGCTCAGCAAGTTGCTCTCATGTGCGGCAGGCTTTACAACATATACATGCAGAGTCTACAGACGAGCATAATTGGCGATTTCTTCTATGCCCTATGCCACAGAGTTGTTAACGAGTCCTATGTTGCAAGTCCAAGTCAAGTCACAAGTCATTTGGTCTGAGTTCAAGTCAAGTCACAAGTCATTTTGTCTAAATCCAAGTCAAGTCACAAGTCATTCCGAGTGTCAAGTCAATTCAAGTCAAGTCACAAGTCATTTTATCGCCACATGTGGGCCATGTTTTCCCACGTAAAACGGCAAAATATGTAAATATGGCGTCGTTATTTTATGTCAGAAATTTTACAACGAAATCGCGAAAAAAAACGCTTTGTCAGGAAATACGCCGGCACAAATTCTGTCGATGCCATTGATATGTATACTAAGGTCGTTTCCCAAATTGTACAACACGACGATCGATCGATCAACACAAAGATTCTGGAAAACTTGATTTTCACTAGATATTTACGTTTGACTTGCGTTGGTAACAAGTCATTTCTTGCAAGTCCAAGTCAAGTCACAAGTCATCGGTCTCTTTAACAAGTCAAGTCACAAAAATTGCGACTCGAGTCCAAGTCACACGACTCGAGTCTACAACTCTGCTATGCCATGGAAAGTTCATGCAGTATTTAGTAACAAACGGTTTTTGTTTACGTCGTATAAAGCTACCTAAAAGAGTTAAAATTCGACGTTTCAAGCGAAGACCCTTCGTTTAGACATAAACCAGTTACATACGAGCATGGTTTCTACACGTTTTCATATGACAAGTTTTATATGTGGACGGGAAACTTTGCAAAGTTTTTCTATGACAAGTACCCACGTATATGAGGCGTAATACAGATATATACTCACCACAGATTCTCCAGGCTATAAATGTTCCCGTCTTCGTTTAGTCTTCCTTCTCAAAAGACAAAACAGAATCTCACTTCTTGGTCTGCAATAAACAATTAGTATGCAAACTATGCCTATTTGCAATCCTTCGCCTATTTAAATTGTAATGCCTAATAGTAATGGCTTTGCATAATAATACTGCCATCCAATCACGGTCCGGTTTGGTGATAGGAATGTTCAAATGCAATTTCATTGTTCTGAAAATCTCACTGGGCACTGTATGTTTTCCATGCCATTCATTCATTCAACGCTTTTGTGACTGATTGAAAGTAATTCGTTGAATGGTTGATTCGCATTTTTCCACTTTTTGGGGGATTTAGGGGCCGATTACACGAAGAACTTTCAACCCCGGGGTTGAACTCAGCCCTGTTAACCGGGTTGAAATTTTTTGCGATTACATGGACGATTTCGACACCGGGGTTGAAACGCTATACTATACGTTGTCGGCATCGATTCCTGGAAGTAAAAAAAGCCTTTATTTTGTTTTCTTGTAATAAATAGTCACTACCACGTATGCTCGAATAACTCATGATAATTTCAGCCCTGGGTTGAAACGATTTGAAGCAGGGTTGAAATTTCAACCCCGGGGTTGAACTCAGCCCTGGGTTGAAAATTTTGTCATGTAATCGCGCGTTTGATTTTGATATATAGAGTTTTGTATTACAGACAGGGCTGAAATTTCAACCCGGTAAACAGGGCTGAGTTCAACCCCGGGGTTGAAAATGCTCCATGTAATCGGCCCCTTAAATTGTTCTTCCAATTTTCGAACATTTACCCAAATTGTTTGTCGAAGGCCCATTTGGGAAACATATGCCATTGGGCATAATGTGAATCCAGTCTGCAAGCTTCTAGTGTTGATAAATGTTCTAGTCACTCAATTTCGATATAAAATTGCGAGTATAGAAGTTTATCAAAACTCGATGCTTGCACATTGCGTCAAGGGACGTCAATTGACAACTTGCATGTTAGACTAAATTTTAATCTAAGTAAAGAGAAGGGAATAAAACACAACAGTTAAAAAGAACATACTATGAAATTAGTAAAATTGCAAACTGATTTGGTTGCGAAATGTTGTAAAATACAGAAAATATAGCCTTGTGAAGTTTGCATATTTTTAGTATATTTGTATTACGTGCGAAAATTGTTACCATTTTCGATAATACGTAATACAAATATACTGAAAATATGCAAACTTCGCAAGGCTATATTTTCTGCATTATACAACTTTTCGCAACCAAATTTTGCAGTTTTACTGATTTTAATAAGTTCTTTATGGAAATTTACTTTTTTTTGCCTAATCAAAAATTTGTCTAACATGCAAGTTGTCTATTTGAATCCAAAAAAATGAGAATAATTTCAATACTCATGGCAATACTCAGGCCTGTTTTATTATACGTCGAATTTCGGTCGCGTCGAATACAATTCAAACAATAGATAATGAAGCTTAATGAGGTTTATCATCTCATTATCTATTGTCTTAATTACATTCGACGCGACCAAAATTCGAAGTATTTGGCCTGTTTGAAACGTCGCGCTTCTCAGAGAAACAACAGATAACGAGGTATTTCAGTTGATTATCTATTGTTTTTAATGAGTTCGGCACATGAGAAGCGCGACGTTTCCTGGCGCACACGATGCGATTTTAGTCGGCCGATAAATATCGTTTGACTAAAACTAACAAAATCGTTGTGCGCGGTGTCATTTTTAACCGATTTTTGTTGCTCGATTTTAATCGGACATCATCAAAACGTTTTGATATACGATTTTTATCGGTGGAATTTTAAGTATAACCAATCAGATTTCATGCTGTGTTCACGTGCTTCGGTATTTATTTGGCAAGATGGTGGCTACAGTTCAGGGAGCATATTTTTTTCCTAATCGTGTGCGGAGTATACCGATGTATATCGGTCGATATATTTTAGTCGGCCGACTAAAATCGCGTCATGTGCGCCAGGCTTAAAGGTCCAGACACACCGAACGCGATTCGACAACAAGACTTTTTTTAGAAAGAGATTTTTTAGTTTTTGAAAGTTAATAAAACAGCCAATGAAAGCAAATTTTAGAAGATATGTAGACCAAATAACTCGAAATGTTAAGCCCTGATTCCACGAGCGCTTTTTGTCAGCGAAATGCGAAATATTTCGCCTCTTTCTTTTGAATTGCGACCACTCGAATAAATTATTTCTACTTGATTGTTCACAATTCAAAAGAAACAGGTGAAATATTTCGCATTTCGCTGACAAAAAGCGCTCGTGGAATCAGGGCTTTATAGCGCATCTAAACTGATATTTGGAAGATTCAAAGTTACCGGTCAGTGAAAATCGAAAAATCTCGCCGCGTTGTCGAATGCATGGTGTCCGGTGTATATATGGACCTTAAAGCCTGTTTTCCACTTCGACCGGCCGTATCGTATGGAAACGTAGCGTATTTCTTTGTTTCCTGAGCACTAGATCGAGCGGAATGAATGACTTCGACACAAAAAAAACGATACGGTTGAAATGGAAAACTGGCATTAATGCACTAGTCAATTAAAACCCCGGCCCCCTGACCCCCGAGATAGGGCGGGGAAATTAACATTTTGTCAATGTTAAAGTTTGGTAATTTCCCCGCTACCGGGGGAATATTGACTGTTAAAGTTACCGCCCCTATGGCCCCGGCACTTTGCAAATTTTCATGACTTGGGAAATCGTTGAAGTATAAAATGTTCACAACATGTGAACTTGTGAAGGCAATTCTTGATCTTAAACTTTGATCTGCATCGAAAGATACTGAATAATCTACGTTTCGAGTATCTTGCAGTCATCATCAGGAATATATGAAAAGTGAAAATATATTCCCTTTTTTTAAAGAAAAACTATGAGGGAACAATTCTCTGAATTCGAAGATTCCGCCATGTTGCCACGAGGATAAACTCGTTCCAGTCCACTTTCATATCAGCCGCGCGTTAAAGTCCCGGCTATTGTCCCGGCTAATAAATTGACTTGTTATTTACCCTGTACCCCGGGGGAAATGGTGCATTAAAGCCGCGTTAATCCACGGCTATTCCCCCGTTAATTCCCCGCCCTGTCCCGGGGGTCGGGGGGCCGGGGTTTCAATTGACTAGTGCATAAGGTCAAAACACACCGGACACGATTCGACAACGCGGCGCGATTTTTTTATTTTCACTGACCGATAACTTTAAATTTTTCAAATATTTAGAAGCGCTATAACATTTTGAGTTATTTGGTCTACATATCTTTTAAAATTTGCTTTCATTGGCTGTTTTATTAGCTTTCAAAAACTGAACAATCGCGCCGTGTTGTCGAATCGCGTCCGGTGTGTCTGGACCTTAAAACAGGCCTCAATAACTTTACATGTAATTCCTAAGGGTAGAAAAATGTGATTTTCAACGGCATTTTTAAATCGGAACGTATTTGCCTATTTTTATCGCAATGATACAAAAAAGGTATCATCATTGAACCATGTTGCTCAGTGTTGAACCTCTGGACCTTAAAACAGGCCTCAATAACTTTACATGTTTTCTTTACACTTTACATGTTTTCTTTACACTTTTACCAAAGGTGGATGAATTAAAAATTATACTTGACCAATATGATGTGAGTATGGCCTTCATAACCGAAACATGGTTAAATGAGAAAATCGACGATGCAGCAGTTTGTATTCGCGGGTATTCAATAGCAAGATGTGATCGAA